CAAGTCCAGGTAAATGACATCGGTCGCCTTTCCCTTGTCCACCGATGCCGTCACTGCTGCACCGAGGGAGGTTCAGGTTGGGTGTGAGGAGGTGACACAACGTCACGGGCCGCCCAGGGAGCTGCGGGCATCAAAGCGGCGCTCCTCCACGGCTGAGGGAGCGGCGCCCGCCCCGTCACCACAGAAACGGCGCTCGGGCGGCGGGAAGGGCGCGCCGAGCTGACCGACCAATGGCCGCTCGCCTCAGCCCGAGCCGTCTTCTCGCATCGCGAGAGCGGGCCCCGCAGCGCGCCTGCGCAGTGCGGCCGTCGGTAGGCGCCTGCGCCCGGAGACGGGCGGGGCGGCAGAGCGCGGAGGCGGCAGCGAGCGGGCGGCCATGGCCAAGCACACCGTGTCATCCGCCCGCTTCCGCCGGGTGGACGTGGACGAGTACGACGAGAACAAGTTCGTGGACGAGGAGGACGGAGGCGACGGGCAAGCGGGACCCGACGAGGGCGAGGTGGATTCGTGCCTCAGGCAATATCCTTCCGTCACAGGGCGACAGGAGGGGTGGGGAGGGAGGCATGGCGGTGCGATCTCGCGGGCGGGTGCTGAGGGAGCGCTGCCCCTTAACGCCCGGCACAGGGAACATGATGGCCGCGCTGCAGGCGGCGCTGAAGAACCCGCCCATCAACACGAAGAACCAAGCCGTGAAGGTGAGCTCGGCGCTTCCCTAAGCGTCGCCTTCCTGTCTGTGTCACCAGTCCCAGCATCCCCGATCTCTGCCCTAAAAACCGCAGCCCGGCTGTCTATGTGCCTTTACAGAATGCTTTCAGTTGGGGGAGACCTTTAAAGCCCCCCCGGTGCAACTCCCGTGCAGTGAACGGGGGCTTCCACAGCTCCACTACCTGCTCGCAGCCTGGTGCACCTTGAGCTGGCTGCCCCTCAGCCGTAGGTGCTGTGCCTGGGCAGGTCCCCACATCACAGCCCGCCCCTGCTGCAGGTCAGGCTCCTTAGGGCAGCTTCCCCAGCTCAGAACCGCAGTCAGCAGTGACTGAGGAAACTGCTAGCACAGCCAGACCCGGGCTACAAAAAAGGAAGAACTGGTGGTTATCACAGCCAATCAAAATTGAGCCGTTGGAACCTCAGAAATCACATGCACTTCCCCTCTGACGGAACACAGGAGAGTGCTGCTTGCATGTACTTCTGCATCTCCCCAGAATAAGCCTTGAGTCATTCATGATTGCAGTGGCAACAGGAAGAGGCAGATGGGAGGAGGTGCTGAGCAGAGCCCCACAGCTCTGTGCTCTGCTGCTCTGACACCAGGCTGTCCTCAGCAGACCACTGGTGGAGGATCTTCCCCAAGCCCTTTCTCTTTCCTGAGGGGTTTCACAGAGAACTGGCTGGTATTTGTTGCAGACACTGCTGTCCAACTTTATCTTCATATGAATGACTTGTTTCTGTTAGGTCTGTATTGAGGTTCTTAACAGTACAGTGCAAAGGCAGTGCAACTGGAGAGGGCAGAGCAGCTGACTTTGTGTTTCACTAAACATCCTTATGCAATTTAAGCTTTGCTCAGAGCTCTTCGTGTGAGAAATAAGGAAACTAAACATTCACAATGCAAGAGGAAGCTGCTGGAAGTATTTATATAAAGAGTTCTGAATAATTCCATAACAAGCTTCAGACCTCTTTTCTTTCATCTTCCCTCAGTTAGTGATGGATGAACAGGAACAGTCACTTTCTGCTGATCACATGGCTAATCTAGAGCTGTAATCATGCCACACAAACTCCTGGGCCTGAAATGACATCCAGACTGACTTGCAAATGGTCATTAATGCATAATACTGTTAATGCTGCCAGACTGTGTCCTCTGTGCCTAGGACAGGAGCTGATTTTTCTGAAAGCATGTGGCTTACAGCAGTTTTTCCTTCTGGGTTGGCCAATGCCAATTCCATGGAATATAATAATTGGTGTCTCGTTAAACAGAACAAAGATATGGGAAAGACTCTGGTAATAAATGAGGCCAGCCAAGTGCAAGTGGAGCTTGTCAGAACTTGATTTTCAATATGCAAGTTAGTAGTTAGCCCTAACCTCATCTAATGGATGAAAAATTGCAACAAGCAGAGAGGCAGGGAAATGTAGAGCAGAGTAAACTCACTGAACTCCATTATACTATCCAGCATTGAAAGACAGAATCTGTTATATAGGGTAATATAAGATTTGTGTACAAACTGCTCTATTCAAATGTATTTTGGAATTATTATAGAGAAAAACATACTTGTTCAGGAGGTGACTAATGTTTGGATGCATCTTATACAAGAATAAGTCTCTGCCTTTCTTACCTATTGACAGGATCGTGCAGAAAGTATTGTCCTGAAGGTCCTCATCTCATTCAAAGCCAACGATATCGAGAAGGCAGTCCAGTCCCTGGATAAGAACGGTGTTGATCTGCTAATGAAGTACATCTACAAAGGCTTTGAGAGCCCCTCCGACAACAGCAGTGCTGTGCTGCTGCAGTGGCACGAGAAGGTGTGTGTATAGGATGTTGCTCTTCCCCTGGGGTTTTTGTGGGAACAGGTTCTTGGGTCCTGGGCATGATAAGAGCCACCCTTTGGCCTGGTAAAACTAAAATAGGTTCACAGAATCATGGAATTGTTTGAGTTGGAAGGCATCTCTGAAGGCCATCTGCTCCAGCTCCTCCACACTGAACAGGGACACCTACAGCTCCATCAGTGCCCTGGCCAACCTGAACTTGGGTGTCTCCAGGGATGGGGCACTCACTGTATCTCTGGGCAAGCTGTGTCAGTGCTTCACCTCCCTTATCATAAAAAACTTCTTCCTTATATCCGGTCTAAACCTTCCCTCTTAGTTTGAAACCATTTTCTCTTGTCCTGTCAAAACAGATCCTGCCAAAAAGCATCCCCTTCTTTCTTACAGCCCTCTTTTAGATACTGACACGCTATTCTTAGTCTCCCCAGTGCCTTTTCCTCTCCATGCTGAACAGCCACAGCTCTCAGTCTGCCCTCACAGAGGAGGTGTTCCATCCCTTGGGTCATTCCTGTAGCCCTTCTCTGGACATGCTCCAGCAGAAGCATGTCTCTCCTGTACCAAGGACTCCACATCTAGATCCAGTACTTCAGATGAGGTCTCACCAGCACAGAGTAGAAAGGCAGCATCATCTCCCTCAGCCTGCTGGCCATGCTGCTTTTGGTGCAGCCCAGGATACAGTTGACTTCCTGGGCTGCAAGGCACATTACTGGCTCATGCCCAGCCACCATCCTCTAATACCCCTTTTTGACTTATGAAGAAGCAAAATTGCTTCTGACAGGTTCTTAGTTATAGCAGGTGAAGTATTTGCAGGTAGACCAATACCATATAAAGAAAAAAGAGTTAAACTCACCCAACTAGTGAAAAGTCTCTCTAAGTACACAGCACTCCTCAGAAAGTAACCCAGGCCCAAGAGATGCTCACCCTTCCATGGCTGGTCCTTAAATGAGCCCAGGATGGATCCACCCTGGGTCCACCCCTTCTGGTCACATGGGAAGCACAGGTGTAAATAATTTGCTTGTGCTCCCTGGCCCAGCCACACCCCTTCAACCAGGTGCTCAATCACCAATTCATGTTGTGACCTAACAGTTTCTTTACAGCCCCCAAGATGTTTTTATCAGGGCTGTGTTCTATCTTTTATCCACCAGCTTGTAGTGATAGTGGGGGTTGCCTTGACCCAGGTACAAGACCTAGCACTTGGGTTTGTTGAGCCCCATAGGTTCTCCTGGGCCTGCTGCTTGGCCTAAGTCTTTCTGAACAGCATCCTATCCCTTGGCACATTGTCTGCACCACACAGCTTGGTGTCACCCACAGAATTTGAGGGCACACTCTATTCACTGATGTCACTGATGAAGATATTAAAGAACACATGCATGTGGCAGGCGGGTTGGAGATTCATGATCCTTGAGGTTCCTTCCAACCCTGACCATTCTGTGAACACCAGTCCCAGTACTGACCCCTAAGGGACACCATCTGTGTCCCTGGCTGATGTACCTGTAGAACACTTTCTTGTTCTTTGTGTCCCTTGCCAAGCCCACTTCCAGTTGGGCCTCAGCCATCCTGACCCCATCCCTACACAGCCCAGCAGCATCCCTGTACTCCTTCCAGGGTACCTGTCCCTGCTTCCCTTTGTTTCCTTGGTCTCTTAACTCCTACCCATAAGCTTTCAACTTGCTTGTGGCCATTCTTGATGGGCACTCTATTCCTCTCATGATAGAGAGGGAACACCTCCCCTCCTTCCTCACCTGTCCCTTCTGAACAGCTCGGAGTTGTCAATAGCTACAGTGTGCCAACAGCCAAGTGCTGCATTTCCCACAGTGAGGAGTGCACTGTCCTGCACATTCAGAGTTCTGTTGTTCTTCCTCATTCTTCTGATTTCTTGAGTAACGATTCTGCATTTATAGTTTGATTTATGTGTATTTTTTTAAGTCAGTCTGGGGCAAACAAAATAGTTGAACATAGTGGTTCAAGGGGGTGGAAATAGAATTTCCTTCCTTGAGGGGAGCCAAATTTGCAACTCAGTTATGCAGGGAAACAAAAGCGTGTTAACTTGCATTCCCTAAAATGAATGCAGCCATGCTTCCCTGTCACCCTGGCTGTTGTTCTGGGTTTGAGCTGCTGGAAGGTGCTTATTTGAATACGGTGGGGAAGCCTTTCCCAGCAGCAGCTGTTTGGGTCTGTAGCCACGACTTGCTGCTCACTGCCATGTTTCTCTTCTCAGGCGCTGGCTGCTGGTGGATTAGGGTCTATCGTCCGTGTTTTGACCGCCAGGAAAACAGTTTAACTCCAGCAGCAAGTGGCTGTTTGCTCTCCATGGTGTGGGAAATGCTGGTGCAAAACCCAACCAGATGCCATTGCTGCCCTGTGGGCAGCACCTGTCTCTCAGCTTGCCTTCTCGCTGCTTCTTTCATACCTGACAAGTAATGCATATCGTGATCTCTTTTTGTTAAACTCTGGAAAATTATGAAGGTGCAATTTTATTTCTAACGGGACTATTTGGTACTCGAGCATTTCAGTGACACGCATAGTTACATTTACAACATGTTTAGGATGATTTGTATTTGTGTATAATTATGGCAGATTTGGACCTGACTTTCCACACAAGTGCTGAGGGACGCAGGGCAATGTCTTAATCCTTTTTGCTAGCCAAGCAGTGTTTTGATGTAAGATAAATATTTGAAAAGTGGGGCAGCTGCAAACGTTGGTAACTGGACCAAGTTTCCTTTGGTCAACCTCTGAGCCTACAGCAGTGAGTAGGACAGAAAAGAGCAGCTCCCCTCTGACCGATCATCATTCCAGTAAGCCAGGTATTTTCCTTAACCTCACACCTCGTGGCCTGTTCCAACGTGCTGTGATCAGTCAGAGGCCAGGTGAACAGCAGGCAGATCACAGCGAGGGTGGAGCTGTTCTTCCTGCACTTTGTATGCTAGAATATAAAGGTCCATTTACACTGGAGCCCAGTCCAGGAAACTTTTTATTTTGGGAGCTAAAGATCCTATACAGAAAAAGAAAAGGGACGTAGTCTTAAGGGTCACCATTCAGTTGACATTCCTGCTGTACCACGATGCTTTAGCAAGTGGACAAATGAAGTTCCAAAATAAAGAGGAGTATTTTAGAAAGGAGTTAAGGAAGCTCCGGGCATCCCAGACCACAGCTCACCACTGAAGGTTAGGGCCAGGACTGAGACACACTGTTTTACATTCGCCATTTTACAACAGTTCCGTTGTGTGAAACGGTTGGGGAACTTGTAAAAATCTTTGCTGTTTTTTAATATCTCCTTTTTTGTTTTTTGTTTTTTTTGTTTTTTGTTTTTTGGTTTTTTTTGTAATAAAGACCAGACAAATAAATCGTCACTGAATATTTACTTGGAGTCTGAAATATCTTGAAGCTAACTTATTTTTAATTCTGCAGGCAGCTGAATGCAAGGACTGACCAAAGTTAAAAAGCAAGCCCTAGAGCTTCTCCCCTCTATTATTTATCTTGCTAAGCTTGCTTTCTAGCAGCTGTTTCTCCTTTAAGTCACGGCAACAAATGGCATACAAGAAAATCTGAGGTTGTTTCAAGACATTTAAACAACAGGAGACGTTCCAAACCAGGATTGCTAGAGGTGTCTTTGCCTGTGCTCAGACTTGAACCATGGAACGACACTCCCAACCACTGATGCTGTATGCCTTCCCTAAAGGAGAAAAACAGTAAAGCAAGGTTGTTGCAGGAGGGTGAAAGTCCTGATCTCATGGTTGGGATTGTGTTTGTCTCTGGCATCTCCAGGGGATGAACCTGTAATCAACTTTCCAAAACCAACCAAAGTCACAGTGGACCAGCTCCCTCTAGGTGGCACTGGACAAACAAAGGCAGCGGAAGAGCAATCTTCAGGTTTTCCAGATTCCCCTCAGAGTATGCTATATAGGAACGTTTATAAAGATGTGTTTATTTTGTGCCTGTGTGTCCAGGGATGCGCTAAATGAGGCTGCCTGCAGGCACGGGGTAGGAGGGCAGAGCTGAGGGAAGAAGGCCTCTCTTCTGCTCTGGCTGCTGCTGAGTGAAACGGGAAGAGGCAGTGAGCTCAGGAGCACGCTGTGCTCACATCACAGCACAGTGCATCGTGATGGCCCTGCTCACCCATCTGCCTCCAGAGCAGCGTCACGTGATGGACACACTCCTGTCCCTGGAGATGCAGATGTGGGACACGAGGGAGTGCTGAATCTGGGCTCTTTTTGTGTCTCTTCATTCCAGAAATGATGATAAAACCACGCATACTGTTGCAGTGCAAACAGAAAGGTGACTACTGCACACTGGCTGGATTTCAGGCAGTCCTGTGCCGTTCCTACCAGCTCTCAGTGACCTGTGCTTGTGCTTCAGGAGGCTCACAACGCAGATGGTAACATCCACGTTCCTCTCTTCAGACAAGAAACAGGTTTCTCCTACTAAACTGAGAGAAAGGGGAACAAGAGACTTGCTCTGTTACTAGAAAGGCAGTGCTTACCACAGCTTCAAAACTGGGAGCTGTATGTTAGGTTAAAATTATCAGAAGGACCATTTGCTACGTGCACTTGCTGTGCTTCAGATCTCATCTGTCTGCGAAATGCAGGTGAAATGAGCACTTTTCAGAGTTGGGATCTCACATCCTGCCCCACATCCCCTGACACCAGTTCTGGGCTAGCAGATAACCCACCCAGCAGGACAGCACCCCAACAGGGGGGAACCATCCACAAGGATGGGAGCATGAAAGCAGAGCCCTGCAGGGAGGCCATGAGGATGCACTGAGGTCTGCAGATGGGCTCTATCACACACTTCACCCCCAGCCCTCAGCAGATCAGGTTTCTTCTGAGCAGAAGTCGAGCAGAAGTCTCTTCTATGCTCTCCCTCCTGCTGTTGGCATTATATGGGAGTTAATAAACACACAAGGGCAAAGTCTTGCTGACAGCTTTCAGATTCTTATGAAATGCCTACGATGAGCAGGATTGGGCTGCAGCACTCACCACACAGCTTTGCAAGGCCAACCTCGAGCCAATAATGCCGGCACCCCCATACGAAGCCCCCAGAAGCACAACCCAAGGAGGACAAACTGCAATGCAGGCACAGCCCCGAGTGGAAGCCCGTAACAGCAGGGCAGTTCCACTTCCCCATCTCGGGGCCACGCTGCTCTGACGCCACCAGGGCCACTTCCTGGTGGGTTTGTGACACCAGGCGGGCTGTGGGAAGGCAGATGTGCAGCCGGGAGGGGCTGGGAGAGGAAGGCAGACACTGCAGGGAAGGCTGGGCACACCGCATCCACCTCGCACCGCATCATGTCGCTGGTGGAGACCATCCGGCTGTGGCAGGAGGGGGTGTGCGCTGCAGATGGCAAGGAGTGGGGGGCAGCCCTGAAGGCCTTCACCGCCGTCCAGAACCCACCGGCCAAAATCTGCTTCAACATCGGCTGCACCCACCTGGTCCTGGGGCAGCTGGCCGAGGCAGAGGAGGTAAGGCACAGCTCCCAGTGCTGCAGGGAGGTGTCGCCCAGTTCTCCCTGCAGACGTTCCCTTCTCGCTCCTCTCGCCCTGCAGGCGCTCACCCAGAGCATCAGCTGTGACAAGCACCTGGCAGTGGCCTACTTCCAGCGGGGATCTGTTTTCTACAAGAGACACAAGTGAGTGCACGGCTTCAGTTTTACCCCTCGTTCAGCTGGTGGCCCTTGGCTGAGCAGCCGTGGGCAGTGTGAGGGGCCAGGGACTCAGCCTGGAGGTGAAGCGCTTAGGTGGGCTACCAGAACACCAACATGGGGAGGTGGAGGGGCCTTGGGAGCCCCTACCTCATCCTCTCCTCCCCAGCTATGAAATGGCCATGAAGGATTTCAAGGAGGCTCTGGCCCAGCTGCGGGGCAACCAGCTCATCGACTACAAGATCCTGGGGCTGCGCTACAGGCTCTTCGCTTGCGAGGTGAGAGAAACCAAATGGTGTTTTGGTCTCGGTCAACAAAATCCAGGGGAAATGCACCCAATGGCTTTTCACTGGATTCTTCATGTCCAGAGAATGGCACGGAGCTGTGCAGGGTCTGGAGCACAGCGTGATGGGGAGCAGCTGAGGGAATGGGATGGGACAGTGTGGAGAAGAGGAGCTCAGGGGAGACTTCATTGCTCTGCAACTGCCTGAAAGGAGGCTGTGGTGAGGTGGGGTCATCCTCTGTTCCCATGTAACTGCAATTGGATGAGAGGGAATGGCCCCAAGTTGTGCCAGGAGATGTTCAGGTTGGATATTAGGAACATTTCTTCTTTGAAAGAGTGGTGATGCACTGGCACAGGATGCCCAGGGAGGTGTTGGAGTTACCATTCCCGGAGGTGTCCAAGAGCTGTGGAGATGTGGTACTGAGGGATGTGGTTAGTGAGCATGGTGGGGATGGACTTGGTGAACTGAGAGGTCTTTTCCAACCTGAAGGATTCTATGATTCATGCCTTGCAAAAAAAAAATCAAGCACACTAGAGTGGGGATAGTCTACCCAAGATGTCAACAAGGTAGCAAAAAACACCCACAGCAAAGGTTTAGTGCCTCTAAAAGACCATTTCCTAGCTCCCATCCCTCTACAGATCCTTTACAACATTGCACTGGTGTATGCTACCATGGAGGACTGGAAGAAAGCCGAGGAGCACCTGACACTGGCAATGAGCTCCAAGAGTGAGCCCCAGCACAACAAGATTGACAGGGCGATGGAAGCCATCCTGGTGAGGAGCAGCAGGTCTCAGCACAGTGCCTGCCTATGGAGGTCCATGACTAGGTGATCTTAAAAGGCTTTTCCAACCTTAATGGTTCTATGATTTCTCCCTGCTACAGAAACAGAAGCTCTATGAGCCAGTGGCAATTCCCACAGGGAAGCTGTTTCGACCAAATGAAAAGCAAGTTGCTCAGCTGGAGAAGAAGGACTACCTGGGAAAAGCCATGGTAAGAAAGGAGCATTAATGCAAGCCACATCTGCTTTAGGCTGAAGAGAGATGCTGATCGCCCTCTCTGCCTTACAGCCACCAAACACTGAGCTGTGCTTGCTGAGCACAGGGATGCAAAGCCAGCCCAAACCTTGGGGATGCTGCAAGCACCAGGACTATGTGAAATAGAAGAGTTAAGCTCACAGAAATACCCTTTTATCTGTGTGGCTCAGCATGGCCCATTTTCACTTTCCTTAGTGAGAAGTGAGGGATGGTCACTCGGTGGTGAGATGGGAAGGTCACACTGGAGCTTCAAATCGAGCCAAGGACTTTGGTGAACAAGGGAAAAAAAGAAAAAAAAAAAAGAAAAAAAAAAGGAACTATTTAAAATCTGACACCCACAAGTAACCTCCAGTACTGCCTCTGCTCAGCCTGAAGCGGCTCAGACAATTGAGCAGGGCTTCTCTCTTGCACATTACTGTGTAAGGTCCAAGCACTGGGTGCACCCTCAAGCTCAGGTCCTGGGAGGCAGAATGGACACCCCAGTGCCAGTGCTGCCAGGGAAAGCAAACCCAGAGCACCCACATCCAAGGAGATTGACTTGGATGGCAGCAAAGGAGGACAGTGGATGTCAGAGATCAGAGGTCTAAGAGAAGCACCAAGTCACAGCATGTCTTCCTCTGGCTGTAGGTGGTGGCATCCGTGGTGGACAAGGACAGTTTTTCAGGATTTGCTCCCCTCCAACCGCAGGTAAGGAACCATGTGGCACAGAGAGCTTCAAGCATACACAGGAATACCAAGCAGAGCTTCAGGCATACGTGGGGAGGGGGACTTCTGGATGACAGTGGTGAGCAAAGAGCAGCATCACCACTCCAAGCTTCCTACCATGGCCAGGGTGAGGAGGAAGCTGCTCCCACATCCCAGCTGCTTTCTTCACCAGAGGTCACAGCCCAAGCCCACTCATGTCTCACCCTGAGAATGCACCCCAGGCTCCTCCCATAGGGGGGTGGCTTTGGGTAGGGAGCTCGGGGAGGTGACAAACTCTCCCCCTTAAGATTCATAAGGGCTGAGTGGAGAAGGAAACTGATGACCTGATACCAGTGTGAGAAGGAGGCACCCATGCAGGGAGGACAACAGGCATAGGAAAGGACTGCAGGACATCTCTGCAAAGCAACCCAAATCCTCCAGATTATGACGAATTTCCTTCTGTCTTCTTGTTCACAGGCCTCTGGGCCTCCACCCAGGTCCAAGACCCCAGAAATCCTCAGGTAGGTTGGATGAAACATTGGCAGCACTGCTAACACACACAGCCTGGTGCAGCCGTGTCCTGCACCATCCAGCTGAGTGTTCAGAACCAGTGGGGGAAAGGAGGAGAGAAACAAGGGAGCGGAGTTTAGGCCCCCTATGAGGTCGAACAGTGGCATCACCTCCCCTCCTGACATGATGCTGGCTTCCATTCCCAGGGCTCTCGAAGGGCAGCCGCACCGCGTCCTGTATGAGTTCATACCTGAAACTGCTGAGGAGCTGCAGGTCCTGCCAGGAAACATTGTCTTTGTCCTGAAGAAAGAGAAGGACAACTGGGCTACAGTGATGTTTAATGGGAAGGTATGGGGGTCTGCCTGACACAAGGGGTGGTTCTACAGGGGACTGGTAGGGCAATAATGGGGCCAGATGTGCTGCTTTGCTTGCCTGATCACATCATTCCCTTATCTTCAATCTCCTGGATGGTCAAGTAATCATCTCAAGATGATCCAAGGCCATTCACAGGGTTGAAACTAGATGACCTTTAAGATCCTTTTCAACCCAGGCAGCCACTAACCCCTGAGCCCCAACAATGCTCCTCCCTTGTCTCTTACCTGCAGAAAGGGATTGTCCCCTGCAACTTCCTTGAGCCCATGGAGCTCCAGCACAAGCTGCACGTCCAGGTAAGGAGACCAGGAGAAGCTGGTGGCCCCAGGACATCACATAGATCACCCAGCAGAACCCGTGCCTACAAACCTTTCTTCCTTTCAATGCTGTGGGACTCCTGGTTTATGGCCTTTTCAGCACAAGCTCAGAGCCTGCAAAATCTGTGCAGACACCGTGCTGATGATCCCTGGGGAGGGAGGTGGTAGCACTGGGGAGGTGAAGGGGTAGTGAATTCATCCTGCAATTCACTGATTCAAAACTCCAAGCACACCTTGGGAAAACAGGTCCAGACATACTAATCAGACACTGTCTCCTGAATGGCACTGCCTCCTGAAAAACTGTCCTTGTTTGCTCTCCCGGAGGCCAGAACTGCCCTGTTCCACCCCAAATCAATGGACAGTAGGCAGAACTCTCAGCCCCAGGACTCCTGCCTCGAATGGCAGGAGGGGGTCCCCAAGGCAGCAGCATCCCGGGGACTGTACCTGCTCCCCTAGGGATGCTGAGTGCCAGTGCTGCCCTTTTCCCATCGGCACAGGATGAGGCTCCTCCTGAGTTTGACATCCCTGAGCCACCCAGCAGCACTGCTCCAAGGCCCCGGCGGCCAGCACCAGGTCAGTGTAAGGAGGGGAGGAAGGGAGGAGCTGTAGGGACAGTCTCTTGTATACTGTGTCCTATAGAAAGCCAGGGCTGGGGGCTACCTCTGACTCTTTTAGGGTGTGGACATTAAAACAGGAGGCAATACTGCAACTGCAGCACTGAGGATGGAACAAAACAAAGCTCGAGGTTCCCTTTTTCTCTTAATTAGGGCAGCAGCTAATGGAAAAAAGGGCCCAGGGAAAGCAGCAGGGCAAGTGACCCAGCTTGCATAAGTCCCAGAGCAGAACGTGCATAACAGGCTTCTCCATAAAGCAGGGCAGCTGGGATTATCTTAGTGTTGGGCCAGTTCTAGGGAGCTACAACCACTCTGGGAAGGAGATGTGGCTGGTGTGTCTCTTGGAGCAGGGTGGTGGCACCAGGGCCGAGCAGCTGCCTGAGCATGGTGAACCAAGGCAGGCACTGCCAGCTGTAAGAGTGACTTAGGGCTCCTGTTTTGTCTGCAAAGTCCCGTATTTGAGGTTATTCGCTGCCAGAAGCAGCAGGGACAATGTTGTTGTTTGTGCTTGCAAATGCATTGGTATGTCAAAGCCCACTGAGGAACTGCATCCCACCTAAAGTTCCAATCCCTACAAACGCAGAACAGGCCCTACAGTGTGAGCACCTGAAACACAGCAGGCAAGGCAGAGCCCTAACCTCTTTTCTCAGTGGTTACTGAAGAATCCCACAGAAGAACCTCACTGCAGATATGGATCTGTTTGAGCAACCACAGCTGGCTCCAGGGCTGGGAGGTGCTGCTACAGATAACAGTGGGTGTTGAAGAGAAGGGCTGGGAGGATCTGGAAACACATTTATGCCCACAGCAGTAATGCTTATGCCGTTCCACTTGTTGACCCAACTTTTCCTGCCTCCTCAGACTTCGTTCCTGTTGCATCAACACAGCAGAGAGAAGCCAATAAGGTAAGACCTTGTGCTGCAGAGCCCAGGTCCACGTTATATTCCAGGAGAAGCAGCAATCCCAAATGAGAACAAGTGCAGAGGGGTGGGGGCACACCTTGAGCTCAGTCACTGGGAAGCCACACTGCAGTCACTAGATGCCCAGTGCATTACTACACTCACTGCCAGGCCAAACCCAGGGCGGGCAACCAGCCACACGTGCAACGTGGCTTTGGTGGCCTGCTCCAGAAGTATTGAGGACTGCCAACATTCAGTGAGATGGTTCCCTGAGCTCAGCTGTCACTCAACAGTCTTACGTCCCAGTTCCTTTCCCTGCCCATAGCCAAGCTCCCCGTGCTGTTGGAGCGGGGAGAAGCCTGACGCCCCAATTCCCCACCTGCAGGAAACCAAACCGGCCGTCCCCAAGCCCTGTGTTCTCAAGGTGCATTACAAATACACAGTGGCCATGCAAGTCAAGCCAGACCTGTCCTACAAGGAGCTCCTGGGCCTGGTTTGCGACAAGCTGGAGCTGCAGCCTGAGCACACAATGCTGAGGTGAGAACTGCCTGCTGCAGGAGCCGAGTTTTTGCGGCTCTCCCCTTACCTGTGTCCTCTGGTACCCAGGTACAAGTCTGCAGCTAGCAGAGAGCTGGTGCCTCTGAGCACACAGAACCTGGAGGCAGCTTGGAACCACAGCAAGGATCGGTGCCTGACAGTGTGGTGCGACTGCACAGAGGTCAGCAGCAGCGACCAGCTCTTCTGCTGGTGCTGGCAAGGGGCTCACTGGCACAGGCTGGTACAAAGGAGAAGCCACGGGGTGACTTCACCAGCTTCTTTCCTGCCCTAGGGAGAAGGATTTTTACCTGACAGCAAACCAGAGGAGTCGCAGAAGGCAACAGCAGAGACGGGACCAACCCAAGTGGTAGCGCAGTTCAGTTACGAGGCCACCCAACCCGAAGACCTGGAGTTTCAGGCTGGAGATGTGATACTTGTTTTATCCAAAGGTAACTGTGCTCCTGCCACTGCGGGAGATGGGAGGGAGAGCGTGGGCCTCTAAGGTGCCAAACACCTGGAGCACAATAGGATGCTGCTCCTGCAAACCGCAGTCTGCCACCTTGAGGTGGAAAATGGGCTGAGGAGGTTTGCATCGAATGCAAAGGCTTCAGAGCAGTCAGAAAAGAAGGTCACAGGGACAGCTGGCATGAGCACAAACTGTAGGTGGAAGCCAAGGGAAAGGACACACTACCTGCTGTCCTAACAATTGCAAGATGGGAGAGTTTCACTCCAGCTGTCTTCAAGCACACTGATCAGCATATTCTTGTTTCCTTCTGATCCTGCACCATGCCCAGTTAGGAGCAAAGAGACCATGATATTCCAGAGTGCTGTCATTCCAATTCCTCTCACTTGGCACCTTTTCTGCTGCTTTTCTTTTGAGGTTTTTCTTACCTCACAAACTTTGCTGACTACCTCTCCTCTGCACTCCTCCTCCCCCTCTCCAGTCACTTCTCCACCAGGCTATTTACCTGCAGATGATCTCAAAACGGGTAATCGTGCTCCTGCACATCCCTAGGGTGACAAAAATGGTGTCAATTTTATCTTGCAGTGAATGAAGACTGGTTGGAAGGACAATGCAATGGCAAGATAGGCATCTTCCCCTCTGCTTTTGTTGTTTGTGATGGTAACACTAAAGACCCAGAACTCTGATTTCAGGAGTGTAAGGAGACGTGGACACTGAAAGAAATTAAGAATCCAAGCGTTGCAACTAAAAAGTCCCCACATTAATCCCTGCATCTGAAAATATCCTCAAATACTATTGCTACATGTATTAAAATCTTTATTTGTGTGTGTTACCTTTTGTGTTGCTATGTATAAAACAACAACAAAAAAGTTGCCAGCAATCTCCCTGCTAGGAGTACAGTCAGTCCCAAGGACCGTGCTTACCACCAGGCTTGGTAGCAGCAGCTCTGCCCCACTGACCTGCCCTGGGCAAAGCTTCCCCAGGGTAAATCAGCCACTTGCCCAAGGAGGCTGTGGATGCCCCATCCCTGGAGGCAGTCAAGACCAGCCTGGATGTGGCTCTGGGCAGCCTGGTCTTGGCAACCCTGCACATAGCAGGGGGTTGGAACTGGATGAGCACTGTGGTTCTTTTCAACCCAGGCCATGCTGTGGCTCTGTGAAAACCAGTGGAAAAGCAGGGAAAAACAGACTGAGGAGCTCAGGAAGTTTTGGACCAGGAAGTTGCAAACAGAATCTACTTCTTTAAAACATCACTGCTAGCCTCAAGAGCTGAAATAAAAGGCACCATGCAGCCTTACCCTGCGCCAATCAACAATAATCCTATACCCCATTAACTATACCCTATAACCCCATTACCTAAATCTCATGTTTATTTTAAAAGGAACTTATTCTGGATAAAAAAACCTCATGACCTCTCAAAACTGGAGCAGTGCAGGTGCCATCCTGATTTACAGCAGGGCAACAGCAGAAGGCTGTGTGTCCTTCAGCTCCTGCTGCTTGTGCCCTCATCAGCTTTAAGCTCTGGAGGCTGCTACCATCCCAGCCTTTATAAAACACATCATACAGCGCAGCACAAAACCATGATCCAATTATCTGCACTGAGCCCAAGCCAGAATCTCTGCAATTTATTTCGTTTTCTTTCAAACTGGAAAAAAAAAATTAAAGTTTGAACCTTCTTCCAATTTCTCCAGAAAAACAACACGTTTTTTTAAAGCCTGCAGCTGAATTACACGGGGAAATAAACGTAACACGCAGACCTGGATGGAGAGAACATGGTTTAATTAAAGGCAAAGCTGATTTCAGCAGCTGCAGTTCTTGCACAGACAGACAAAAAAACACAAAAAAAGCTTACGACACAAACCAGTTTCTGTTGGGGTCCCTTCCCTCGCTCCCCTGGGTGGGATGGGAGTCCCAGCCGAGAGCCAGCCGTGTTCCTGACACCGGGTTCTCATGCACAAGTGGAGCAGTGCGTTGGGACCTGGCACTGCCAGGAGTGAGGTGGTGAACCTGGTCAGCTTGCTGAGGGTGCGAGAGTCAGCGGCACTTCTAACACTGGAATGTCGCAGCTGCCGGGGCGCACGGCTCAATACACAAACCGAGGGGCTGGGATAGGTAGGGGGTGGGGGAGCTTAGTATTAGCATTGGGTGGAAACTTCACTTTTTGGACTTTTTAAAAGGAAATACATCTTCAAAATGCAACAAAGAACGGTGGTGTTGCTAAGGTGGAGAACGCGGGGGAGCTGCTCACGCCCTCAGAAGGGTACTGGGCCTCGGTTTTCCCTTTTTATGTTCTTTGGGGCCGCCCAGACTCCAGTGTCACTTAGGCTCCTGCATGTGCTTTGCTTTGCAGCTGACTTACAGCCCAGAGATCCTGAATCATCACACAAACCCCTACTGCTAAACACAGCAAACGGACATTGAGATCGCTTCCGTAGCTTCCCTGGGAAACCTAACAAAAATGCTGTCTTTAAATGACGTTTCCAGTCTTCCTTCCCCCTAAATAAATAGCAAATAAAACATTTTCTTTTCCCTTCTGCACCTTTTCATATGCGAACAGCGCTATGCTTCTTCCGTGCGCGGGTTACACACGTGTGTCCGTGGCACCTCAGATCTCCTTCTAGAACTGAAAGTTGAGGGCTGCTGCTGGGAGGGCGGGGGACGGGTTTCTGCAGAGCTGGTGTATGCCTGTGGGGTTCGTACACTCCACACTGTCCAGGCTGACTGTCGTCTTTACCCAGTCCTGCTGGACTCCTGATTACTTTCTGCAAGATGTTGCGCTTTTATCGGCAATAAAACTACTAGCATCCAGCAAAGATGAAAGGATGGGGAGAGAAAGAAAAAATGAAAAACACTGAAAGCTTTCTACCTACCTATTAAAATGAGTCAGGCTGTGAATGCACAGAGTAGCCTGCCCTTTGGGGGGCTAGCCACTTTGCTACAGTAAAATGTACAGGAATCAAACATTAATTTAAAACCCCATAGCAGTTAACTTGCTTGTCCAGCAGAGTGCTGCAATGCCCCACGTCACCCATTATAGCTCAAACACCTACTGAGAGGAGGGCATTTCATGCTGGAGTCTCTAACCCACCCGTGGGCTGGCCAAAGCCTTTGAGTGAAAGGTGAAGTGGTGTCAAGTGCCAGACTCTCCTTCATGAAACTCCTTCACTAGCCCAGGAGATAGAGCCCCACCTTGCCACCAACCACCTCTGACCGGAGCAGCAGCTGGGGCTTTCACTGCTACACACTGACTACAAAGCACATCTGTGTACGGAAGAATTCAGTGTGATCTTACTACTGAGATAGTAATAAAGATGTTTAGGAGTAATTTCAACTACATTCTCAGTCAGCAAAGCAATCATTAATGGATTCCTATTTTATATCCCCAAAGAGAGGAAAAGGATTGAGAAGTTCTCATTAGCTTCTCCCATCTGCCCTTCGTTCTCAGCTTTTGCTTCCCATGTGGCTGGGGACATGCACGATGGAGAAGGTGAGAGGCGGTGATATCGGGTCACTGAGTGAGACAAACAGCAGTTCCTCTCTCCCTCCAGAGGGCCCAGGGATTGGGAGAGTTCCTGATGTTGTTTGCTTGCACTGCAGACGTTTTGTGCACACTCAGTGGGTTGGTGGAGCACTTACGCCCTCCTGACAGCAAGGAACAGAAGAGAGGGCTGCCACCTGCACAGGACTGTGTGGGCCAGTCCTGCAAACCCAACATGCCATGGTTTATGGAGCCTTGGTTTGCAAGGGTTGCCACCTTGTTCTCAATGCGGCGGGTTCATGGCGCCTTGTCCACGTTGCTGCTTCTGCTTCTGCTGCATTAACAGCTGCTCCAGGGCTGAGGGTCCAGGGTGCATCATGGAACTGGACCAGATGGACTAAAAACAAACAGTCAACACTAGCACCTCCTGGTTTGAGGCAGACCTTTTCTTTCAGGTGAGAAAGCGGATACTGTTCTGTATTCTCTCCTCCCTTTGTAATTCATACCTGCTCTGTCACGAAAGTTACCCAGGCTTCAAAAGAAGGCCTGCTGAAGAGAGGCTCCCCTTGAAGATTACCCTTGCCTCGTGAATGGAAAAATCCATCCCATATTAATGATTACTAATTTTAGACTAGTCAAAGCAAATGTTATTTCTTCCAGTTCTGACAGCCTGTTCTTGTTCCACAAAATATTCTAGAACGGCAGGAACTGAAGAACTGTGACATCTCCTAGCACTGGTCACACCTCCCACACTGCCTACAAATCTGCAGGAAAAAACCTTCCAGGTCTCAGTGAACTCGGACGCAGTGCACACTGCCTGAATCCCATAACACCACACCCTTTCCATAGGCAAGCAGCCAGGCCTGAGCACAGCTTCAGTTCAACATACCTTTAGGCTCTCCATGAGCACAGCTGAGGAGTCCTCCATGGCAGGGCCCTGGGCTGCCCAGGTGCCACTGGGAGCACTGGACTGGTGCCAGCTGCTCTCTGAGGATGAGGACGTGGCTGGGAGGTAGTCCAGACCAAACCCTCCCATTGCTGAAATGGGGAGAAGAGACAAATTCAAACAAATCCATTGCAAAACAAATGCCAACAGCTGGCTTCTTCCAGGCCTGGAATAGCAGCACTTGCCTGGCTTATCTGTTTTCCAGCGGTCTGCGATTCTTCTGTCTCTGTTGTCTGGAGTCCCAATAGGTCCAAAGTTGGAAAAGGGAACAGAATTGTGATTATGGGTTGGAGGGGAGCTTGGCAAGCTGCTGGGGTTGGAGGAGTGAGGAGACTGGCTGGCTGGTGTCGAGTGATCTAGTGGTTAGAAGGCAAGAGGAAAAAGGTGAAGATGAGGAGCTTCCTCATTTTGACTTTCTTAGTGCTGCTGACAATTCCGCCATCACCGTTTTTTCCAATACTGAAGGTCTGCTTTTATTCCTTCCTTCACATGAGTGTAATGCAAATTCCTAAATTCTAAGTGGAAATGTTTGTGCATATAAAAAAACAGAAGTGACTGTTTAATGCATACGTGCACTTAGCTTAATCTGTTAGCCAACTCACTTGAGGTTTTTTTTTTTGCTTTCTTTAAGTTCCTTGAACACCTTCTCTCAAACCCAAACAATAAAAATCCTATCTCCAAGCTTCACAAGCCTATACAAAATAACTTCAGATCTCAAGGAGTTTCAAAGTTCACAACTCCAACTTGAAAGTTTTACACTTCTGTGAATCTGAAAGTAATTCAGACCAGAACCAAATACTGAGCAAAGGAGGAGGCTGACATGGGAGTGTCTGGAAGCAGGAGAGTGATGCCTAAAGAGAACACAGCAGAGCAGGGTGGCAGGAAGCCCCATGGTCTCAAATGAGGAGGTGAAGTGAAAGCTTAAAAGCTGTAACCATGTCCTGCCATAACCCCTACTAGCATAAAAGCCCTTTGCAGCTCCTTCCATTTCATCTACAGCAGTCACTTCTGGTTTGTTGCAAAAGTTTCAGTCTGAACAAGCAACATCTGCAGGGGACAAGTTATTTAAAATCCTCTCATTTGTTAGACTCAGCTAACTCCTTCCTTCCTCTCACACTCTGTGGATTTTTAGAGAGGATAAAGCCATGACAATTCTAATGTATTTTATGCCCTTCAGAAAATGGTTAAAGAAAAAGCCAGTTTGCTTTGTAGGCTGCTTTAAAAAAAGAACTGCCATATTCTACTCCTCACTCTATACAGTTTCTCTTTCAAATATCAGCATTATGAAATCTAGTTCTTCCTGCTTTTTCCAAGGAAACAACACTAAAAGCAAACTTAAATAATTTTAAAAATTATTTAAGTCCTAGTCCCAAGTACTTGTGAGGAGTAAGTTGAAGAGATTTCAGGATTTAACACTTCCTGCAACTTTCATCCTGCTCAACTACTTCAATTAAAATCTGTGTTCTTACACTATAATAAAGACAGAATCCCATCACATTTCAGAGGATATGTAAACAGAAACCTTCAGACCTTGTAAGAGACTTTCTTTTTAATTTTTAGTTACAGTTAACTTGCAATAGGTTCAGAATTAACTCCAATCCTCTTGAAGTCGAGACATTC